ACTATGCCAGTGCAGCAGACTGACAGACAAATGCTGCACCAGCGGGAGCAAATCATAACACTCAAATGTAGACACATGTTAGATAGTAAGTAATTGGCAACATGTAAATCATTCTACAATATCCAAATGAATAGATAGGTGTTTACCTCCAGAAGCAAATTGTTAGGATAACCAGGCATACAAATATCATGGTACAGGATACCCTTTTCAGACCATAGCAAAGGACCATGGTAGGCTGGGTTCTTGAATAGCGATCTTGGCACAGACAGTGGGATAGAACATTTGAGCAGATGCTATTAAAGTTTTTGTCAATTGTGATGGTGGTATAATGACTATAAACGGATATCATGAACTTTTGGAAAAGCACACCTGTACTTGGGAACACACTTCCTACTGTAGAAAGGTGTTTTCACAGAAGAGCTGTGTTAATTGGCAATTGAGTTGACTGAGTAATTGAGGGTTGGCTGGACATAGTCTGTGAACAAGGCATCTCCTTGTAACTGATACATGTTGTTAGTGGAGTACCATCCAGTTGGAATCAACTCATAGCTGACCCTCCAGCAGGGTTTCAGAGGCAGTAAATCACATGGAGGAGATTATCTATCTTTCTCCCTTAGAACACCTAGTGGATTCGAAGATACCTTTGGGTTGACAGTGCAGCTCCTTACCACGAGACCACCAGAACTAAAAATACCTGACATGCAGAGTTTTCTAGGCTGCCTAGTTGAGAGAGAGAGAGATAGTAAGAGTTGGTGTGATAGAGAAGCAGAACCAAGTGGTCTTGAAGCTGCTAACTACACTGGCTATAAATGAGACCGGCATAGAGGCCAGTGACAAAGTGGCTTTATAGAAGAGAAACCTGGTAAAGGAGAAGCTGAGCAAGCTGCACGCTGACTGAGAGTTGAGCCCAGTTAGTGACAGGCCTGAAGGCAGGGAGGAGCTGAGAATGCTGAGCAAGTGGCTGTGCACACAGACCAGGAGCTAACCAGCTCACAGCATAGAGGCTTGATGGCAGAGTGCTGCTGCTGGGACTCAGCAAAGCCAGCGGAGGAGGCTGCAGCCGGACCAGTTAGCAGCAGCCAGCCAGCAGCAACAAAGTGGATAGCAGAGAGTAGCTGGAAACCGTCCTGCTTAGGCACTGTTGTCACTGAAGCGAAGAATATGCTCCACATGGCAGAGATCAGACCTTCCCTATGGGCCTCCTGACCCAATTCTGAGGAGTTCCTGTTACTTCAGAGTGTGAGTTCTCTGTGGCTGTTGCAACAGATATACACTTCTGGAGGATCAGCGTCTTTTAGAAAAAACAGAAGCAGGAAAGTGAATCTGAGAGCTAGACAGTGAATAAGGGTAACAGAATTGATGCCTCTGATCTGTGGCGTTAGAGAAGAATACTGGATATCCCATGAACTCACAAACAGTTATATGTCTTGGAGAAGGTGCAGCCAGAGTGCAGTTTGGATGCTATGAAGATTAAATGTACTTTGGGCATGTTGCTAGGAGGAGAACATCATGCTTAAAAAAGGGGAGGGAAAGGAACTCAGGTGGCCTAGTGGCAAGAAGCTGCGCTGCAATCCCTAAGGTGAGCGGTTTGAATCCACTAGATGCTCCGCTGGAGGAGGGGCAATCTCCTGTACCAGTCGGATCTGATTTGACGGTACACAACAAGAGTGGTGGGAGAAAACCCTAAATAAATCCCTAAACAACATTAAAAAAAAAAGTGGAGGGATGGCAAAAGGAAAGGAAGACCCTCAACCAAGTGGATTGGCTCAGTGACTGCTGCGATGGGCTCAAGTATTTCAGAGATTGTGGGGATGGCATAGGACAGCACTGGGTTCAGAGTTGTTGTAGCACTGGAGTCAGGGGTATAGAAGATGGCGAGTGGGCTCACGATAGGGCAAGGTTCAGAGCAGTTGTTCACAGGGTCTCTATGAGTCGTACTTGCCTCGATGGCACTTAACAACAACACTGCCACATAGAAACTAGCTTTGTGCTGACCTTGATCCTTGTACCTCATGTTTAGACCATTTATCATGTTTTGTAACAAGAGGTATGAGAGATGATGCCAGAATATAAACCACCTTCAAAGGTGCAGGGCTTGGGAGAGGGTTGTCTCCTCTTCTCTATTTTTTTTATCTTTTGGAAAATTTCCATAGTAAAGTCACTGTTTAAACAGTAGGTTGAAGAGAATACTGACACGCAGGCAGCTTCGACCCTGCCTCTCACTGGCAGATGGAGCTTCGTTCAGGGCCCGGATGAGTCCTGGAGAAGCTGCCCCAAAAGAATTATCATAGACAGTGTGAAAGACATGTAAAGCGTCCATCACTAGTGATGAGTACTGTCTTATGAAAACATTATACCTGGAAAAATGAGCTAGGATAAGGTCAAGGGGTAATACAGTAAGATATTTTAAAATGTGAATCTCATGTGCACCTTGTCCAATTTTTTTCCTTTTTTGTGTGTCTTTTACGTATGTGTTGTGTTGAAGCAGTTGTGCTGTCAAGTCAACTATGGCTTGTATCAATCCTGTGAACATCTGCTCTAAACCCTGCCCTATCCTGAGCCTACCTTGTCATCTCCGACACACTGGAAACATTGCCACAGTCACTGTGTCATTCTGTCTCGTTCAGAGTCTTCCTCTCCTGCACTGACCCTCCACCTTTCCACGCATATGTTCTTCTCCAAGAACTAGTCCCTCCTGGCCATGTGCCCAAAGTATGTCAGACGGAGCTTCAAATTCCTTGCCTCCAAGGAGCAGCTTGGTTTCACCCTCTCTAAGACCAACCTGATTATTTTCTGGGAAGTTCATGGTTTGCTCAATACTCTTCTCCAGCACCACAACTCAAAGGCATTGATTGTTCTTCTGTTGTTGTTGTTGTTGTTGTTGTTATTATTATTATTAATTGTCCAGCTTTCAGACACATAGCAAACAATTAAGACCATGGCCTGGATCAGGTGCACCTTAGTCTCTAGGCTCACATAGTTGCTCTTTAGCGTTTAGGACTGGTCTGTGACAGCAGATTTTTCCAGCACAACTCGTCTTTTGATTTCCTGACTGCTAGTGCCAAGTGTGGATCTGAGCACGATGACATTGTTAAGAACCTCAGTTGTTATCATGATGCTGCCTTTTGGCCTAGTAGTAAGGATTTTTGTTTCCTTAATATTGAACTACAATCCATATTGATCTTCTACAGCCATCACTTCAGGTGATGGCTCATTTATAGCAAGCAAGGTTATGTCATCTGCATAAGTGCATGTTGTTGATGAATCTTCCTCTGATCTTGATGCCACGTTTTTCTTCGTAGAGTCCAACAGGCATAATATGTCCAAATGTATGTATGTGCAGTACTTGCATCCAGGCTCTTACCAGCAGCGAGCTCAATTCTTGGCAGGTTTCTGAGGACTCTCAGGGAGGTGTCTCACCAGGTCTCCTTCATGAAAGAAGGTTCACATCTGTATGGAACCCATCCCAGGCTGAGAACCTGAGGCTTGAGAGCACAGAACTCAACGCCAGAGACCTCAGAAAACTCAGGCTTGTCATTTCTCAAAGAGTTTGTAAAGTTTGGAACAGCAGATCTTCTGTGTGTCTGGAGAAGATTGTTCTGGTTTCTCACATGCTTTCAAGGGCCCTACTCAAGATCAGGACTATTTGTTTTGTCTCTGTTGGTTAGTATTACGTGTCTGTTTGATAGTTAGGATTCTCAGTGGTTTAGAACACATTTATCTGTTTCCTTTTCCATTATATGTCTTTGAGATAATCAGCCAGTCCCTCACAGGAGGACTTCCCCCAGGAGTGTACCCTGCAAGACATGTGTACAGTTTGGCCCAGTGCAGTAGCTCACTTAATGTCTCCTCAAACTCATCATCTTTGTTTGGGAATATGAGGCAGCCTTCTGCCTTCTAACCTGCCAATTTTGGGTTCATCAGCTCTTAAAACCACACGTGTCAAGTTGTTGTTGTTGTTGATCGCCTTCAAGTCAAGTGCACGACTTATAGCACCCCTATGAACAAAAGGCCGGAAGCCCCTCTACAACTATTGACATTTATCCAAGTTCATAGAGTTTCTGGAGGCATGTTATTTAGGAAGTGGATGCCACTTGTGCTTCCAAACCTGTCATAGTATGTTACTGTTTTTATGTGCCATTGAGTCATCCATGATGTATAGCGATCCTATGTATAGCAGCTCTGAACCTTTCCCTGTCCTGAGCCAGTCTCACTAACTTCAACACACCAGCCCCCATCGCCCCAGTTACTATATCAGTCCATCTCACCTAGGACCTTCCTCTCCTTCGCTGCCCATGCACCCTTCTGAGCATGATGTCCTTCTCCAAGGACCTCTCTCTTGGCCACATGCCCAAAGTATGTGAGGCAGAGCTTCAAAATTTTACCCTCCAAGAAGAGCCTTGGTTTCACCCTCTCCAAGACAGACCTATTTGTTTTCTTAGCAGTCCATGGTATGTTCAAGACTCTTCTCCAACACCACAACTTGAAGGCATCATTCTTCTTCTGTCATCCTTAGTCATTGTCCAACTCTAAAGCGTCACACGTAATTGAGAAGACCATGGCCTGGATTAGGCACACCTTTGTATCTAGACCAACGTTGTTGCTAGACCAACGTTGTTGCTCTTCAGCACTCTGGAGAGGTCCATGACAGCAGATTTTCCCAGTGCACTTTGTCTTTTGATTTCCTGACTGCTGGTGTTAAGAGTGTTGATTGTAGATCCGAGTAAGCTGTAATTGTTAACAACCTCGGTCTCTTCTCCATCTAATACGGTGCTGCCAATTGGCCCAGTGGTGATAATCTTTGTCTTCATGTTGAGCTTCAATCCATATTGAAAACTATAATCCTTGATCTTTTGCAGTGAGCACTTCAGGTCCTCCTCAGAGTAAGGAAGCAAGGTTGTGTCATCTGCATATTTTAGGTTGTTAATGAGTCTTCCTACAATCCTGATACCACACTCCTAAAAAAAGGGAGGGGTGGCCTCCACACTGACCCCTGACTTCCTAAATCCTGGATCTGAGACTTTGCAGCTTTCACAACTGGAGGAACCATTTCTGTAAATTAAACCTATTTCACTCTCAAAAAATACTAAGAGGTACATAGACATTTCAGTGAGTTTGCCTAGCTAGAGAATCTCGCCTAAGACAGTGTCACTTCATGGGTCTGGCTATTCCTGTTTGATTATTTGTTTTAAGATATAAAGGAGCAGATACATTGTGTATGTTATTTGTACCTGGTATGTAGCATGCTTATTTAAGCTGCGTTCAGTATACTGTCGCTCTGTGCGCGCCTTGTGTTAGCATGTGCTCCTCTAGGGGCACCCTTGTGGCAGTCTCCTGGGATCTGGAAGTGCTTTACTGAGGATGAGGCCCCTGCCTTAACCAGTGACATATGCATACGGGGCCAGGATCCAGCCCTTGGCCAGCAAGGGGGATGAGGGGTGGGAAGGGTCAGGCTAGGCTGGTCCAGCAGCTGCCAAAAGTACAGTCGAGAAGCCCTGCCTCTAAGAGAAGGGACAATCCAGGGGTGTGGGTCTGCAGGAGTTAGGGAGATGTCCCTGGAATAGTAACCAGGTTGTGTTGTCAACATAATGCAGGTTGTTGAAGAGACTTTCTCCGGTCCTGATACCACATTCTTCATGAAGTCCAATATGCATGATCTTGCCTCCAGTAGTGGGGTGTTCAGAGCACTTAGGTGGTCCTCTTAGGGGTTTTTCAGAAATGGGGTGTGATGTGACCACTGAATGGTGCTTGGAGCCCGAGTTAGGTCCTGCTCGGGAGATTGATGGCCTGCCAGAAGTGAGATGCATGGAAAATTGGCTTAAGAAGGTGAGTGAGGGGTCACTGCCTCAGATATGGGAGGAGCTGCTTCACGGGGTATGCAGAAAAGGATAGGTTGCACAGTAAATGCCCTCATATATCCACCCACCTGTGGAGCTCAAGGGCGTCCTGTGGCTGGAATGAGTTTGTAAGGGCTGGGCACAGGGGAAGCCCAGGCAGAGATGTGCCTAGGAGGCTTGGCGCCACTGCTCTGTGCAGAGACCGACATGTGCGTCTAGGGACCGTTTGCTATTCCTCACTGGCGGAGGGCCACATCCCATTAACGAGTACATGGAGAGTTTACAGGTAAGTGTCTGTCATTGGACAGTGTTTCTAGCTAGGGGACTTATTTATTAAGGAGAAGAGGACATGGGAGGCTGGGCAGTATAGCAGGCATTGACCCCCAAGAGAAATCTGTGGGGAGACACAGTGGTCTTCACCATGTGAAGACCAAGGAGTCCTCCTCGACTCTTCTCAGGCTCACACCTTTTCAGGTTCAGCCAGAATCTGTCCTCAGCTGACAGTCACTACTGTCATCCAGAATGGCCTGATCATCATTCACCGAAGTTATAAAGTTGCACTACCCTTGTTCCCTATTCCTGCTCACCTTCATGTCCAGCAGTAACCTCCAGGTCCCAGAGACATGGCACACCAGAGGCTTCTAGACTCCAGCCCTTCAGCACACCCCACTCCTGAACTTGTAGCTCCCCTGCTTGGAAAGCAGGCGAATGAATGGGTGGGTAAGGCCTGCAGGGTGTCCCAGGGACCCACTGCTTCCCTAGAGGGTCACTCCAGCTGGACAGATACTGGAGCCAGATTGGCTGCCTCGATCTCTGTCCCTCTGATGGGGGCAGGAAGGTCCACTATTGAGTAGAGGTGTTCTGTCACAAGGGAGCATTTCCTCATCTTCGGTCTCAGTTTGTTTTATAACGGTGAGCTCATACTTTGTATCCAATGTGCTATAATTGGTAACTTTATTATCTGTGTGTTGCTCAAGCTGTGGACATCATCATCTGATCACAGTTCAGCACCTTGTTTTGCTGTACATAGCACTTACTGTGCAGTTTTTTTGCCTGTTGTTGAATGTATATAGGCTTTTGCATGTGTGCCTAGGCGTAGGGTGACATAGTTCTTAGTTCCCAGGGTCATTTAGGGAAGTAGTAAACAATACTAAAATACCTGTTAATGACTCATCTTTACTTAGTTGTTATGTGCAATGCTTTATGTTCTGTGACCTCTGGCATTATTTGTGTCGTGACATCATGTTGTAATGCCTGGCCTCCACCTTTACTTGCAGGTTCCTCGGAAGTGTTTCTGCCTCCGAACCCCATCTTTAACTCTGCCATGTCTGAGAATGAAAACGTGTTCTGCGCTCAGCTCCAGTGCTTCCACTTCCCCACTCTCCGACATCATGATTTGCACAGCTGGCATGCTGAGAACTGCTACGAAAAGTCCTCGTTTCTCTGTAAAAGAAGTAAGCCTCCTTTGGCGTAGCTAGTGAGGAGAGAGGGAGACCGCTCATGGATGTGCCTTCTGCATTTCTGGGCTTGGTGTCAGCCCTCCATGAATGTTGATGTTCTGGTGCTCTGAGCAGAGTTGTCATACTCTGTGGCTAACTTGTTGTTTTGGTAACTCTCTGAGGTGCTGTGGAGAGGAATGGAAAGAACCTGGGTGGGATGTCCTCCCTGGGCCGTAGTCTAGCTGAGGGACCATGGTCTGGCTGAGTGACCTCGGAGCACAGATTGATCCCTCTGAGCCCTCATCACTCTTCCATGGAGAAATAAAGACTCGACTCTACCTGCCACTCAGTGATGCCAGGAGACTGAAGGGCAGGCCAAGGCTTTGATGTCTCTGGGGTATCTGATTTCATTGGTCAGCACCTCTCCACTCCTCCCTTCCCTCTTCCTTTTGTCTCTAAGTTGAGTTGCCTTTTCCTCCTCATTTGGTCATGCTGTGGTTCATTCTCCTCACTTTGCCGCCTCACTCTCCATCCGTACCTGTCTTTTTGGCTCCCTGACTTTAAGTCAGCACCTCTGGGTTACAGAATTCCAAACCTCTGTGTTCTTTGAGGACCACTTGTGGGGACGGACAGCTCCGTAGTGCTGACCAGGCGTGGACATTCTCACCCCTGACCTGCCCTCATCTGCGCTGAGTTAGGATGGCAGTTCCCAACATATTCACATATGCATTGTGAGGTTGGGGTTTGAATTCAGCCCATGATCGACACCATTTAATTCAATAAAGTATTTCTTTTCCCGCTGACCTGTCATTTATCAAATACTCAAACACATTAGAGCCTATTTCTGGATTCTGATTCTATTCCTTCGCTGTTTGTCAATCCTCTGTCAATACTGCACATACAGTGAAAAAGCCAAATTCAATCTCATTTATCTCGAATTGGAGTCATATTATAGCTGAATTTTAAATAGCACAGAGGAGATTGCCCATCTTTCTCTGGTGGAATTGTTAGTGGATTCAAATTGGCTGTCTTTAGCTAATAAATTATTTTTCAATTAAATAATTTTAAAAAATAAATAATAACTTTTTAAAGCTTTGTGATAAATTCTGATAGCTTCTTTGTGGCTTTCCCTACCTTGTTCTTGAATGTTGCCATAGCTATTCATGGCCCTTTTGTGCATAAAGTATAGAATCAGTTTTCTGAATTCACTTGTTCTTTTTGCTTCACTTAGATTTTTTTTTTGTTTCATTTTGTTTCTTTTTTCCTTTTGACTCTTTAACATTTCTTTCTTTCTTTTTTTTTTCCAGTGTTGATAATAAATGTTGTATGCCATTGAGTTGGAACCAACCCATAGCTGACCCTCCAGAGGGTTTTCAGAGGCGGTAAATCACATGGGAGTTGATCGCCCATCTTTCTCCCACAGAGCAGCTGGTGAATTTGAACTGTGTACCTTGCATTGCCAGAGCAGTTCCTTACTACTAAGCCACCAGAGTCCCCTAGCATCAAAGGCTCTACGGAGGTTATTATCTTTCTAACTTAAAAAGGACTGCTTTCAGTGTTTTTGCGTTAATAGTGATAATAAT